CTTTAAACTTTAAACTCTTGATTTCAAATTATGCTGCGCTTTATGCATTTGCCCACTGTCATATTCATGTCCTTTTCACTGTGTGCTGTATGTAAAATTAGTGTTACCTTGGCTTTATTTGAAAAAATATGATTCCCAGTGCACACCAACGTCCCAGAATACTGAGTGACCTGCTGGTTACAGTGTTTATTTCCTTTTTAATTATATTTTTATTAAATATTTATTTATTTGTGAAAAATACTTTGTCATCTAAAGTATAAGTATGTTTATTTTACACATTTATTTTTTAATCCATTTTCAAATGATTTCAAATTTCTTGAATATTAATTAAAATAAATAAAATTATATCGGCCATCGGCCACCCTGCTTTCCAAGATATCGGCAGTCAAAAAACCAATATCGGTGGACCACTACCATCGACAACATCCTCAAAATATTAAAGGCACACCCCAGGATTGGTAAAGCTGTTCCGTTTTAAGCCAAATTCAAATGCACAGTAATTGCATCCAGAGTAGTGGGGAACTGAGTTTTGCAACGCCAGATACTGATATCTAGAACAGCAGATTTGCAGTTTGAGACCCATTTTACACTGAACTTGAAGCGGTGACCCAGCACAGTGCCATAATGGTTTAGATTAAACTAAGTAAACAAAAATGTCCATAAAAATCAAACACTGAAATGTATTAATATTTTCATAAAATACGCAGGCTCAACAATATGCAGAAATGATTGAGAACTGAGAAATCATTGAACACTAAGCATTGAGAATTTGCTCAGTGTGCCGAAGTTTTATTATTTGCATACATATTTAATTTGAAGTTAAATTAAAAAGTAATTTATTTTAATAAAAATAAATAATAAAAAATATATAAAAATCAATAAGAGTCAATAAACTCAAAATGGCCAAATGTCGGCGGATTAATTGTCCTGATTGACAGAGTTCTGTCAATTTGAGCAAGTATAGCCTGACATGCAATTGCCTTGCAGTAACGAGGACGGTGAGCCACACACCTGATGGAGTGGTTGAAATGAGTGCGATTATAAAGAGAGAATGCATTGAAGTGAACAGAGTGGGAAGGCAGTGGCCAGTGGCTGAGATTTGCATTTGCTGCTCAGGTATATGCAAAGAGACAGTAGGATTTACACAGAGGCAATTGGTAGTGTGTGGACCTGCAGCGATATAGAGGCAGTGTGTAGGAGGCTGGTATTGATAGCAATGCTGCATAAATACATGGAGAGATTACAGCTACTTCATAATGCTGCTGGCAAAAAGTGCAAATCTGTACTGCAAAGTGCAGATAACAATCAGCATTACTGCTGTTGATATATGCTTCTTTTAATTAGAGAAGATGAGATCTCTTCAGAGAAATATTTGTCTTCAGCTTTACTGTTGAAAATTAGTGGTGGCCAGCTTACTACCTTAGGAAAGAGATTCTCATTTACTAACCCTCATGTCGTTCCAAACATTTTTTTATTTTATTTTTTTTACAAAAAATACATTTTGTAGAATTTTTGCACAACTCTATTCCAATCTATATAATTAAGTGACTGAGGACTGTCAAATGACAAAAAGCACCATAAAACAATTTGTATGCTATATTTCAAAGCTTCTGAGGCCATATTACAGCTTTGTGACTTAAATTTAGGACATTAATCACTGAAAATGTTGCCCTCTGCTCCTATAGCTTCATACTTTCACATAAATTTGAAACACACATGACAACTAATACCATGTAGCATTATTTGTCATTTTTTAATGTAAGCAAACACATATGAGATTTTAGAGCTACATGAGAGGTTACTGGATTATAGCACACAGGCTGCACTTTCTGAATGATATCAAGGATGAAATCTTATATCTTATACATCTTCATATTTTAAAAGCGCCTAACAAAGTTCATTTTGTGAAAATTTTTTATTGAAAAGTGAGTTTGGCCTGTATTCTTTAAAAATAATTGTGGTTTGTTTTGATATTTCACTATACTGTGCCAATTTTAATTGTGACACCAATACAAAAATACTTTTTGGAGCCACTGTATTTGATTATGTCATACAGTTTGATATCATAAAAAGGCATTTTGTCACACAATAAAAGTGCATGATTTTGCTCAGTGGTTTATGTCAACAGTTTCCTCATTGAAGCTTTTCTGTTGAGTTTCAAATTGCCTCAGTTGTAGCCAGAAAACAGAGTGATTATATAGTATTAATAATTGATCATGAAATGGGGCCGCTTTATCTTCCTCTCCTCCCATTTCCCTGGGGTGGTCTTTAACTATACAATAGGGTTGTGCCAATAGACGATAGTATTGTGTATCGATGATAGTCAGAGATATCGCCTGAGGCTGATGTCTTTGACGATAGCAAGACGATTATTATTATTATTATTATTATTATTGTTAATCAGGCTAGTATTTTTATATAATTAATATTAGGGCTTACTTGTTCCATCATATTTCTTTTTCTGCGTTTTTACAGTGTTGCACGTTATAACCAATCACACACGATTCCGTTGAGTTTATGAATGTAGCGGCCAATCAGAGGCATGCAGATTAGTCTTCGCTGAATCACCGGAGTTTTGATATTCAGATTTTCTGTAGCTGCTGTATGAATAACTGAGGAAGTGTAAGCATTATAATTAGTAACTTATGATGTTTCTATTAAATTGTTATGTTAAAACAAATTCAGTCATATTAAAGGGGTCATATGATGCTTTTTTAAAGATCATTATTTTGTGTATTTGGTCTAACAGAATATGTTGACATGCTTTAATGTTCAAAAAACACATTATTTTTCAAATACTGTACATTATTGTAGGTCCTCTATGCCCCGCCTCTCTCAGCATTATGCAAATATTTTCACATAGTGAGGTAGATATGTGGGGCGTGTTAGAACGAGCCGTTTTAGGGGGGCGTGGCAGAGTCTTAACTTTGATAAAGAATATCTCTTTGGTTTTGAGACTTTAGTCTTTGCAACTTCAGGGATCTTATCTACGCGCAATCAGCTTGTAACACTCCAAAGAGAAAGGAAAACTTGAAATCGCATCATATGACCCCTTTAAAAATATTTTATGACATGACAT